GTGGAGGCGCACCCTCAGAAGGGTTGATTGACGGCAAAAAACTTTATCTTTTACTTTAAACCTGTCACGTTGATGTTAACTTAGATTCCCTGCCTTTTCATGGCTTGATTTTTCTGTAGTTCTTTATGTCAGCTGTGGGTTTTCCGGGGTGGCGGTACTTCGCGTTTTCCTATGGCAAGCTTTAGCGGTTTCGCGACGGATACCGTATGCTTCCATAGAGGGAGTAGAGGAACAAGTCAAAGTAGACTGGGGTGATTCCGAGTTGTTGATTGTAGACATTTCAACTTATCGTAGGACATTTCGAACAGACGGACCCTTAAGCGAAGCAAAACACCGTTCTAATGACTTCATTAGGAGGGGGTGGGGTTAAGTTGTAGTCAATGAGAGAATTTCTTCAGGGAAAGGGTTGTAGATACGTCGCTGAGAAGGTGCCAACGTAATGAAGCAACTCTTCAGAAAGTCCTGTATATGGGTGTGTGATGGTTGCTGGTGCCAAGCATGTCCCATGGGGTGTGATGGAAACGTAGCTGACTAGTGATGGGAAGTGCTACCAGGCTGTACGAGCTAATACGCTTTTTGGAAGGCAATAACGCCTTAGTAGTTCACGGTCTTCGTATTGAGCCTTGCTATTCCAGGGTGTGATGTGGGCAGGACGGGATCGTACGGGAGGATAGTGTTAAGAAGAGATTGCAAGTGGTGGGGTGGGGCAGGGGTTATAAAAGACCCAACGAGACAAAATTGGTTGCGGTTATCACACTTTTCATTTTTTTTTAGAGTCTTGATAATTCAGCCTAAATGATGTGAAGCCGACATAGTTCGTGACAAAGAGTGACATGACCGGTCTGAAGCATACTACAGGATCACGGGCATCAGGCACAGAATGCCGGCTGTTCTGCCCAACTTGTACCAAACTTATTGTATCCTCCATCCTCTCTGTGCTTTGGTCCCATTCTGAACACTCCGCAGAGAGCTCGGAAGAGACGAATTGCATCTTTCCCATCGTTCGGAGCATTCAATGAAGGTGTCTTCGGAGCAGTCGCCAAAGATGTCTTTCTATCACCCTGGCAGCTTTTCTGGTGTTCGTTTAGCGTCTGGAGTAATTCCCTTGGTTCCACAGTCACCAGGATATCACGCAACGTTTCCAGCAAGAGCTCGGAACTTCTCATAGACATCTGGCTCTGAATCATGTGGCTAGATCAAGCACATTCTGTTCAACAGCAAGGTCAAACTTTCTTTCGTTTTGTTTTTATTTTGTGAGTTTTTGGAGATCGACATCGTTTATTCATGGGCTTTAAACATGTCGACAAAAAATTTCTCCTAAGATTCATTAGAACTAATACTGCTTGTGAAGTACGCAAGCCGAAATACAGGCTAAAATAGCGCCTATGTATATTAGGATAGCAATAACGAGTGACACTATAAATGCGGTTGAAGAATCAAATCCATTCACGATTATACCGATCACATTGATTATCAGTATAATAGTTAGCGTGCCAACCACAAGACTCAAGACAATCAGAACGATTAACATGAGTATTGAAGATTTTGTGATGACTGCGACAATAGCCAAAATGGCGACCGTCAAGGCAGCGATAGTTGTGATGAGGCTCATGTGTTGGTAGTTGAAGATGAGGTTCACAACGCAAAACGCAGTGACGCAGATGGCTAGCACAACGAGGAATAGTTCATTGCCGGATAGACCTCCAATACCTCCAGCAGCTGCACGTTTCAGGTTTTCATCGTTTGGCTGAACAATCTCTTGCGCTTCTCCATTGCTTGGAGCACTTCTTAAAGCTGCTGTACAGTCCGGGACAAGGGTAGAGATGACGTCTGTGAACCAATGTAACCATACCTCTCAGACGGACATTCATTGATGGCGATCACTGACATCGTTGTAAATGGAATGAATCCTACCAGGGTTGGTTCGTGGTACTATTGTTGTTATCACCATGGTATTATCTGTATCATGGGAGATCATGGGTAGGAGGTGAAAACAACTTTGTCTTAACCCTTCCCACATAGAATTACACTCATGAGTCGTTTACTTACCAAACGTTATCATTTTTGCTGTTACCTATGTTGGGTACCAAGGGGCGGAGGTGGTGTAGTAGCAATTGGCGCACTATCTCACACTCATGGTCAGGGGTTGGTATCCCGGATCGATATCCACCTAGGCCAACCAACACATCCCTCCGGCGTTGGTGAATCGGTACCAGACGCGTTTGGGAGGATAAACGCACTGACTTGTACATCAGGTGGACACCGCAAGTCATTGTATAGGCCACATACGCACTCATTACACCACTACATTCTGAATGGAAGCCTAGTGTGGAGGCGCACCCTCAGAAGGGTTGATTGACGGCAAAAAACTTTATCTT